GATTTAAAGTTCAGCTCTGGCTCACTGTAGAAAAATCTCAAGTCGGTTCAATTCTCTGATTCAGATCATTGCAACCAGAAGACTCAGCTGTTTCTTAACAGCAGTTATAAATATGCTGCTGCAGCAAGACAAGTCAGAATGTGTGCCATTTAAGAAAAGTAATTGGTGATGGCTCATTCCAGGGCCCTGTGGCAGAAAATAAATAAAGGGGAAAAAAGAAGCTTCAGCTGAATCAGCTATCCATCCATCATGGGAAAGTACAGTGCAAAAAATATGCACGGGATGCTCAACCCTCATGTTTCCTCAAATTTGTGTCTGTGCACTTACAGAACATTTGCTCTGTATGTTTTATCAAACCCACACTGGAACAGAAAAAGATGTGGCTCAAAACCACATTCAAATATCCCAGGGCCAATGCCATACTGACTGCAGAGTCACCCCTGAATGGCCATAAAACGACCCTAAATCTATGCAGACAGCCACCATAAAACAGAGAGATCAGAGAAAGTGAAAGCAGTATGCAGTCTGGGCACTGCCAGAAAATCTGTCAATCAAAGTGAAAGTGGCATGCAATGTAGAGGAGAATTTCTGTTCCAACATGGGTTTGGTAAAACAGCAGAGCAAATGCTAGATGCAGAATGGGCCTAATTCTTTTTCAGTTCAATGCAACTTGTTTATTCTCTTCACCTGTCTACCCGAGTGAAAGCCACCCAATTTGATTTGGACAGACTAGGGAGTGGGTCCAGCACAAAGACTGTGTAAGAATTATTGGTGCTCTTTTTGTAGAAAAAGCCCAGCAGGAACTCATTAGCATAATAGGCCACACCCAACAGCAGGAACTCATTAGCATATTGGGCCACACCCCTGACAGCACAGCTCATTAGCACATTAGGCTGCACCCCCATGTTGCCAGAAGTGTGGTCATCCAGCCACACCCACCTTTTGCTTGTTATTCTGTTTACCTTGTTTGTTGTTAAAACCCAGGGCCTTTTTTTGTAGCAGGAACTCCTTTGCATGTTAGGCCACACACCCCTAATGTAGCCAGTCCTAATGAGTTTCTGCTGTTGGGTGTGGCCTATTATGCTAATAAGTTCCTGCTGGGCGTGGCCAACTTGGGAGCCAGCCGGAACTCCGTTCCTGTGCGTTCCTGCCCAAAAATAGCCCTAAGAATTACTAATCTTCTTGTCTTTCCCTGCTCTCCCCAGCAGACATTTGCCGCTCTGTGGCCACATGATCCTATGTATCCACAGGCTACTATAGACTAGTAGCCAAGCAGGTTAGGAGGTTGCAATGGAAAGGGGGAAATTACTCACTTTTTCCTCTTTTGTGAGCAGCCCTCTGCTCACAGAACAGGCAAGGGGGAGTCACTCTCTTTCACCTCCCCACTGCAGCCTCCCAACCTGCATGCATGGCTATTACTCCAAATGACTCCTGCAGCCTAAGGAATAAAGGTTCTGAAATGGTTCCTGGGCTAGAGGAGAAGGATGAGAAAACCAGAGACATTAGCAACCTTCAGCCCCATCATGGATCACAGGATCCAACCAGGGGTCTGATCCTTGCTACAGAATTGCCAGAAAGACCCACCTGGTGGAGGCAGAAGTGAGTGCCTAAGAATTTTGCTCCTTTCCTCAAGCTTACAAGTTGTGGAAAACAGGAGGAAAAATTACAGACAAGAAACCCAGCTCAGACTACATTCAGTTCCTCCAACTTGGCAAAGAATGGCTTTTTAATGAATAATAAAAATGACATTTCCCTTCAGATGATTGATCTTTTGCTTTAGCCACAGCTTCCATTTTCTTTCCCTTCCCCCCAAATCTAGTAATTTTGAAAAAGTATGGAGGTTTGGAGGGGGGGGGACTATTAGATGAGAGGACTTGACCAGTTCACTATGCACTAAGCAAACATTCAAAGGTAAGAAACAGCTAATTCTGAAATTTTTGGGTCACCCACCTCTTCTCATTCCCCTTCCCTTGTGGAATGGTTTCCCCATCTCCTACAGTAATCCATAACTTCTAGAAATTCAATTTCAGTTGAATGAAAGAAGCTGGTCACACACTGCTACATAAAATAGTTTTGTAAGGAGACTACAAAGCCATAAAGAGATGAGTTCCAGGCTGGACTGCTGAGTGAGAATAAAAACACACACCAGAGGCTGACATTCAGGCCTTGAGGGACAAAATAAAACATCATACAAGACTTTCTGTCCTGCGTAACACACCAGACAAGTCAGCTTCCCTGGATGTGAAACAAATCATCCTTTGAGATGAAGCTTTTTTAACTAGTAAGAACACTAAGGCCCCGGTCACACGCGAGGATTTGGACCGGGAGAGGGACGGAATGGATGCGCGGCAAATGGGCGCAATCCCACGGCAACATCTGGGAAGCATTGCCTGTCCGTCACCGATCCGTCCCTCCCGCCCAAAACCCCGCACCAAAAAAGAACCACCTACCTGGGTGGTTCATCTGGAAAGGCCATGGCAAGTGCGGCCGTGGGATCGCCGGCGCGTCCTTTCACCGGCGTATCCCCGGCTCCTGGCCGAACTGCGCATGTGTGAGCATGCGCAGTTCGCCAGCCTCCCCCTCCCACCGTCACTTTCTCCCTGGCATCTGATTGTGCCGGGGAGCAACGGTGCCGCGGCTCAGGGGATCCATGGGATCCCACCGCGGCGTCTCTAGTTTGGTGCGGCTCAGATTAGCCGCACTTCGGCCGTCGTTTTTCCTGCCGTGTGGCAGGGACCTAAATTGTTGATTTAAAAAATAGCAATGTGTCAACCATATCTGAAAAGTTCAATATCTTGATGTAAGCTGAAATCCCAGTACAGACTCAGCTTGCCGGCCTACCCCATACTCGGGAATCAAACCCTACGGACACAGATTCAGGTGGGTAACCAGGTTGGTCTGAAGCAGCAGAACAAAGTTTGAGTCCAGCGGCACCTTTAAGACCAACAAAGTTTTATTCAAGGTATAAATTTTCATGTGCAAGCACACTTCTTTCACTGCATGTTGTCTTAGAGCCACTGTGTCAGTAGGCACGCACAATTCTTCATATACATTGGAACTGAAATAGATTTAAGTGGTTAGCAGCAGAAAAAAAGTTGGAGTCCAGTGGCACCTTCAAGACCAACAAAGGTGGGGGTTTTTTGCATCAACACAGTTGTCCAGCAGGAGAAGAAGAAGAGGAAGAAGAAGGCAGCACCAAAGAAAGTGAAGAAGAGGGAGCAGTGGCATCTTCAAACGAGGACTCAGACTCTAAATTGGGGGTGGCAGCCCCAAAGACAAGCTATCATTTGAGAAAGAAAAAGTATAAAAAATGAGATGTTATTGCCCTCTGAAACCTCTTATGTTTTGTTATAACTATTTCTTGTATTGCTCTTTGAGAAGTCAGATATGGTGGTGTTTAAATTTTTACTTTAGTTTAAATGGAATATTGGATTACCAAAGCCAATGAACTTGAATTGAATGTTGAGTTATAAGCTAACTTGTTAAGCAGTATGTATGACTACCATCTCTTGGGTCTTTAGTGGGGTCTCTTTACTTTCTCCCAGAGTTTGTAGATCCCCTCCCTAATTTTCACTGTAGTTTATAGAAAATGCAATAAAAAATCCCCTACGGGGGGCATAAAAAAAAAAACCCAACAAAGTTTTATTCAAGGTATAAGCTTTTGTGTGCAAGCACACTTCTTCAGATACATTGAAATGGAAGTTCCAGTCCATATATGTAGGCAGAGGGTGAGCAGCAAATTAGCATACAGCATAATAAAGGTGATTAACAGATGCGAAGACCAAACTGGACACTTCAGTCTTCCAGGACATTCAATGGGTGACCTCAAAATAACTGTTTTATTACAAAGGAACTTCAGGAACAGACTAGACATGGAAATTGCTGAGGTACAAGTTATTAAAACATTCCGAGAAACTTGACCCCCCCCCCCAGGATATTGGTTTCTTATCTCACTACACATGCTAACCTCATTCAGTCCTTATATCTGTATTCCTACCAATCCCCCAGGAGGACTATACATCCTCCTAATTTTATGTCTTATTCATAATAGCACATTAGAATAGTATATTGTAATGTAATGAATAGCAGATTGCAATGTAATTTGGAATGGTCGCTTGGAACGTATTTTTCTGGTCTGGCGACGAAGGAGATACACTGCACAGCCAATCACCCAACCTCAAAGAAGAGGATGATGTAAGGTTGCCTCCATACTTGAGGGGAGATGGATGGATATTGATAGCAGGGTCTCAGTTAAGTACTCTCACTATTCCACAATTAAGAAAGGTACATCTGCCCATCAGTCTCCGATTTCGATGTATTTATTTCCTTCCCTATGTCCCCCCCCCCCCGC